GTTTCGATGGCGAAAGTTCGCAGGCAGCCGCAGCTGCAGCAATGCACTTACGAGCACGAGTTGTGCTCCGCTTGTCATTTCGGCTCGAGCACTTGGCTACCTGCCTTCCGGGCAGTTGCGATCTCAGAGCTGGACTTTAGACTGTAGACCCCGGAAGCCCCCGTTACATCACTTCCGCAGCCCGAAGATCCTGTCCAAAAGAGCATCCGAATGAGGGTTCTTCTATGACAAGAACCCCCCCCCCTGTAGGGACGTTGTTGTTGTCAAGTTGTTTGCAGTACCGTCTTCGAAGGGGTTGCGCGGACTCCCTATCGTCCTAGTGAGTAACAGTATGCCCTGAAGAGTTCTTGCGCACATACAGATGCAAGCAGCACGCACAACCCACTCGAATTGCCTTATGTGTGTTCTGATATCTTCGTTATTCGTTTTTACGCCAGTTGCCCCTTTGCCAGCAGGGCAAGCAGGGCAGCTTTTGCCATGTCATGCTGATGTTCTGCAGTTGAGGCGGATGCCACCACGACTCCACGTACAGAGAGTTGGACATCCTACTACCTGATGGGTCAAACATGTCGTGGCCTCAGCTTGCCTAAACCCCAAACCTTACAGCCTAAACCCTAACATCTAAACCTTAAGCCCTAAACTGTAAAACCTAAACTCTTAATCGTAAAACCTAGACCCTAAACCCTAAACCGTAAAAGCCTAAGCCCTAAACCCGAGGCGTTCTTCGAAGACCTTGATGAAACTGGTTTGTCTCACCCCTAGTGTAGGCTCGTTGAGGCTGGATTGGTCGGAAAGTCCGCTCCGCTACACTTAAACAACCCTAAACCCTAAACCCTAAAGCCCCAAACTCTTAAACCCCAAACCCGAAAAGCCCTAAAACCCTAAAGGCCCCAAAACCCTAAACCCCAGATTCGCAAGTTTCAATCGAGGACTTTCTTGGTTCCCAGGAGCCTGCAGTCTCGACCAGGCCCCTCTTGCTCCCAAGGGGTTTAACCCTATAATGGTTTAGGACTTGGTGTTTGGGGTTTAGGGTTTAGGGTTTAGGACTTAGGGTTTGGGGTTTAGGCTTTAGGGTTTAGGATTTAGGGTTTGGGGTTTAGGGTTTGGGGTTTATGTAGGGGCCTTAATAATCAGAATGGGGGTATTGTCTTCCATAAACATCGTAAGGAACCCCGAACATACTATAGGTACATAAGCCTTCTACGCCCCAAAAACCCACCAAGTCGAGCACGTGTTGGGCTCTGTCGGGATGCAAGCTTGGCTAAGATAGACTTCTGACTAGTTACCCATCTTTGTGCGTGAGGGTTCTGCATTGTACAAACATACGAAACTAGTAGATTATACCCCAAACCAAGCCCTGTTCTAACTTGTGAGGCTCCTATGTGAGCTTACCGTCAGGTTGCACAGACGAGCCGCGCGACGACGCAGGGACAGCCCCTGTGTCGGTTAGCGGGTGATGTGTAGACCCTTAAACCCTAAATCCCAAGTTTTGGGCGCTCCCGACCAAGGGCGAGTGACAAAGGGAACTCAACTTTAGACCCCCGAGCCTAAACCCTCAACCCCAGGACTCCCCAACCATGAACCCTAGGGTTTAGGGTTCAGGGTTTGGGGTTCAGGGTTCAGGGTTTCGGGTTTAGGGCCGGATCTTTAAACCCCAACATCCTTAGCGTAAGGACTTGCCTAACTATCTTGACTCGATCAGACCTTTAACATCCCGTACCCTGAATCCATTCGTTCCTGCAGGCAGACAGCAGGTGCTAATACTTTGCAAGAGCAACACGGTTGTGCACCGAATATCTCAAAGTGCCGTTCTTCGTGTGTTCGAGCTTCAGGTACTTGACCTCGGATTGATCTTGATAGAAGATGGGGTTCCTGAAAGCAGGGGTCTTGCTGTGGGCGGTCGTTATGTTGAGGATCCTGGTAGCATGGCTCTATGTGTAGTTCTCTAAATCAGGATCCCTTTTAGGGTCCTGTTTATAGTTCTGCCGTACTATGAAGGGACCCCAATTCAAGTAACTACCCATGTAGTATAGGAATCCCGAATTGCCTGAAGCACCCGAGTGCTGCTTGCAAGCGGGATTTCGGATTCTCTCTTGCCATCCAAAGGCTCCCTACTGGAGCGGCCCGTGTTTATGTTAATTCCTATTGATTAATGCTGCCGTAAGGGGGAAGCCTTATTTGTTTAACTACTTACCTATAGTCTCCATTGTAGTTCCTTTTTGGGATTACCTTTTGGGATCCTTAATACAGAATTGGTTAAACCAACAAAAGGAACTGCAATGGAGACTATAGGTACCTTGTATCATATAAATCCTCCTTTGGCTGCAACCGGAGTTCAGTAGAGGACGGTGCAGCTAACCATGGATGATGAGAAGCAGCCCGTCTCCATGCGCTGGCCTCAGCAAGCAAGTCGAGAAATGAAAGTGAAGGGTTGTAAACCCACAAATCCCAACCCTACTTGAACCCAAACACCCTAAACCCAAATCCTACACCGTATTCAGCCTCAACCCAACAGTTTAGGGCCCCGCTCTCCATCCACGCCCAAGTCATGCCCGTGGTTTTAGTTTCTACCTTAAACCTCCACAACCAGAACCTATGTTTGTTGGAGTTTCTTCCTTTAAACCCTGATGTAGAATTTGAGGGTTTGGTCGTTCAAGGACCCTAAACCTAAACCGTATAAGCCCTAAGCCCTAAGCCTTAAGACCCTAAACCCTAAATCCCAAACCCTAAAACCCTAACTCACACCCTAAACCTTAAACCGTCGGAAACTGAACCCCAAGACCACCATCAAGTCTCGAAGCCAGAGGCCTCAAGCCTCCCGCAGCCCCCGGCAAGCAGATCCCAAAGGACCCCAAAGATCACGGCCTCTTGCATAGGGGTTTAGGGCTTAGGGGTTTAGGAGTTCGGGTTTAGGGTTTAGGGTTTAGGTGTTTAGGGTTTAGGGTTTAGGGGTTTAGGGTTGAGGGGTTTAGGGTTTAGGCTCTGTCTTAGCGTGCTTCCATGATAATGAAGAGTCTTCTAGAGTAGTCAGCCACTAGGATGAAAGTATTGTTGTAGATAGGATATGTCACCGGGCAGCGACAAGCCCCAAAAGGATCCTACTTGGAGGTTCATGGGTAGTTATAAGTATGGCTATAAGTCCCCTAATATGGGTTAGAACTATAGTTACCTTACTTATAACCCCACTTATAACTACCCATGAACCTTCAAGTAAGCCCACAATAAACTGTCTTAAAGCTCTGCAAGGCCCTTAGCAGCGCACTTATGAAGCCCCGGACTCCTCTTGAGCCCTTGTTGTAGGCTCTAAGACACTAAACCCTCAACCCCAACCCTAAACCCGAACCCTAAACCCTAAACCCTAGCCCTCAACCCTAGACGTGTAGAAGAGCCGTGACGAAGTCCCCTTGGGAGCAGTGGCAAAAGCAGAGGCAGGTCTACTTCCAGAAATCCAGATTCCTAAAACGGGAAGTCCTCTAAATTAGGCTCCCTTTCCTGGGTGCCCCAAAATAGTACTGCACTTTTGCAAAATGCCTAAAAGGGACCTTACTTTAGAGAGCTTTTCAAAGATCAACCCATGGAGCCCTAGACTTTAATTTAGGGTTTAGGGCTCCAGGGGTTTTGGATTTAGCCAACCCTAAGCCCAGCTTTGCTCTCGTTCATCAGGACTCTGTAAAACCTATCTCCTTGTAAGTCCCAATTGTGAGTATGATTTCCCGAAATGGGTCCTTTAGGCGGAATACTTGGGGTTCAGTTAGGGTTTGTGCTGTTAGGGTCTAGGGTTTAGGGCTTCGGATTTAGGGAAGCCCACATGCTACCTTCGTAGGGCTCCGAATTATAGTTATCAGAGTTTCCGAGGTCCTCGTATTTCATATGTCCCGCCTGAAGTCCTGCATGTTGACTCCTCAGTTTCCAATTCCATTTCCGAAGGACTCAACCCTAAACCCTAAACCCCGAAGAGCCCTTTCAATCCCCAAAACCAAAAGCACCCATACATCCTGTCCTAAACCCTAAACCCTAAACCCAAAGCACCATACATCCTGTCTCCTAGGCCTGTATCGAATAACCTGATGACCGGCATCCGGGGCCATTGGACACGGAAGGAGCGGGCCGCGGGGGATCTCGACATTTCAGAAACTTCTGCTTAGGGTTTAGGGTTTGGGGTTTAGGGTTTAGGGTTTAGGTAGGGTTCAGGGTTTAGGGTTGCGGGATTCATGGGGGTAGTTCTCTAAATTAGGGATCCCCTTTTTGGGTCCCAAGTATAGTATGGCATCCTTAAAAAAAGGGGTTTTCCCTAAGGAAAAGGGACCATGTGGGATCTTATGGGGCTCTGGCGGTGGTTTTAGGATTAGCTCGTGTTTTGCGCTGTAGGATTTAGGGTTTCGGTTTAAGGGTTCAGGGTTCAGGGTTTAGGGTTTAGGTTGGAGGGTTTAGGGTTTAGGATAGCGCAGAAAGGCTGGAGGGTTGAGGCTCGGGGCTTTTAGGGCGAAGCAGCAGCAACAGCAATGTAGCGATGCACCTCGCAGAGTGGTCCCCTAAACTGGAACAAATTCGCGATCCCACCTCAAGTTCGGTTCAAGGGCTGCGCTAGGCGAATCGTACCTACACGGGCCACGAACGCTGCAAGACGGCGTTGTCGATCATGAAGGCGACTTCCCCATCACATTCAGAGGCATCAACGGCGAGTCTCCGAAGTTTGGCGTCATATGATTCCGACGGAGATTCAGACATGGATCTTGATCCGCAAATTCCCGTTGCTGGGCCAGAGAGGGGGTTCTTCACCAGTTTGTCGGAGGAGTGCAACTTGCTTGTTTACCTCCTCAAAGACAACCTCAATACCGGTGCAACCCCTATCGTCGTCATGTACCTCGCCACAGCCGCTGCGACCACAGGGGCTACCTGGAACGGCGCCCTCGCTGCCGCCATGATTGGCCTTCTCTGCGTGGAGAGGTGTTGAGGAGGACATTGTCAACAAACCTTGGCGGCCCATTCCACAGGGCTTGATGACTGCTCCCAGGCTCGAACCTGCGAGATGGGGTCACCGAGCATGTATATCCATGCTGAGAGTTAAGTTAAGAAGGATGTTGGGGCTTTTTATATTTGAATGCAAAGCTCAGGTTTGTGGGTGCCAGATGTGCATTGGTGCTGTGGCCATGGCATGCCTAGCCGCATCGTACCTTTGCGAGCTGGCAATGCCGTGCGTGCTGTGCTTTACGGCAACATTCGGCTATGCGGTTGGATGGGACAAGAACTTCATCTTCAAAGCTTTCATTTTCATGCCCATGATCTTCATGATCCACTTTTTTGTGCCCGCGCGTTTGGCGCTCGGACGAGCCTCTGATAGCAAAGCACTTTGGGATTGGGTGGTCAGTTTCGCGGCCTACTACTCCATTCTTTTTTTGCTTCAAGACCTCCGTGACGTCAAGGGTGACGCCAAATCAGGCCGTCGGACTCTTCCAGTTTTGCTAGGTGCCCAAAGCTTTCGAGCCATGTTGTTTGTGTTAGTTGCCGTGCTATCACCGCCAGGGTGTTATGGGCTGCTGGAAGCTTTGTGGGCTCAGCAGCCGTACTCGGCTTTGGTGTGCACTTTGTGGAATTCCGGTTTCGCCCTAGCAATCTTGTATATGCTCGCTACTAGCGACAGCGTCAAAGCAGACAGGCTCGCGCACAAACTAGTGGTGTTCCTGTTCATGTATACATTTGGTACAGCTCCATGCTTGTACTTCATCGTCCCCTCTGTTCTTGCGTCAGAAGTGCCGCTTGGATTTTCCGCATAGAACAGCACCTGCTAAACCTCGTGCAGCTTTACTTTGCTCGCTACTGCCTCTTACAGATTAAGCTGCAACAGTGGTGTGTTATCTCGTAGCTGGGTAGTCTCTCATCCTGTTTGGATCGTATACGCCCTCGGGACAGTTGCGGGCAAAAGTTTTTCCCTCGTCTGGTAACAGGTCGACAACTTACCAACACTATTCCTCAGGGTTCCTGATTAGCGTATTCATATAACATGCCCCGCAGCCCCAATCTAGATGTACCCTAACCCCTAAACACTAAACCCCATCTGGCCTCCACTCCACTTCCATCGGAAGCGCTTTTCCAGACCGATGCTGCACGTTGCAACGAGGTTTGCCTTATTTAATCTGGCCGGCGTCCGGAAGTTTTTTCTACATCTTCCATGAGAGGCAGCAGAATTGCCAGACTTCTACACCCTCGAGTCTAAAGTCACCCTTGTAAAGCTTACCTACACCCGCAACCAAGCAGTGCGCCCGTATGCAATGCGATTATATTAGATACTGGACTAAATGTTTCTTGTCCAGCAATTTTGCGTCCCCTCTGCAGGCCGCAACTGCTTGAACATCGCGAGTACCAAAACTGCTGATGTTTTGTACCCGCCTGGTCCATGCATGAATGTATGGACAGCTCTGGATTTCAATGTTGCTCCTTCTGTGTTTGTTCTGTCTTGGAGTAGTAGAAGCAAGGAACTCAGTAAGCCAGCAAGCAACAGCAAGGAAGGAAGGAAGGAAGCAAGGAACAGCAAGGATGAAACAATGTAAGTAAACCCCGTTATAAACCCTATAAACCCTAAGTGGTGTGTGCGGGGGATTCCATTCCTCTGGGAGGAAGACAAGATGTCTCTGGGCACGATCTCTTCAAATAGCATGGCATCTCGGCCGGCGTAGTGGAGGGTCTAGGGCTTTGGGTTGAGGGTCTAGGGATTTCGGAGTTGGCGCTGTAGGCTTTGGGGCTTTAGAGTTTCATGGTTTGGGGTTCTGGGCTTTTGGGTTTTAGTTTTGGGGTCTCGGTTCAAGGTTTCTTCCGAGCAGGGGGAGGCTAAACTGAAGCTCGAAGCACTGAGCCCTGAGATTTGTCGCTCTGTTTTTGCCTCGCGATGGATTTGGGGGGAGGGGAAGGGGGTAGGAAAGGGACAAAAACCCTACTAAAGCCTTTGCCGAAGCTGTTTTCATGGAGCCTAGCAGTCTGGAAACCTCAATCCCTAACTCGCTCGAGCCCTAACAACATTCTGGCGAAGTGAAGCCGATGAACGGAGCAAGATCGAGCCTGTTTGGAATCTTTGTGCAGCAGGTCTGGGCCGGGCTTGAAAGACTTTCGAGGGGTAGGGAAAAGCTTAGGGTCGAGGGTGTTGAAGGCTATTTAGGCTTTGGGTGTTTATTTGGTTGGGGGGGGGGGGGGTTTAAGACTTATTCCCCTTCGAACATGCATGCTTTTGCACTACAGGTAGGGCTTCCCTCAACCTGAAGCTTTTTTTTAGTTTACTGCTTTACTTAAAAGTTAAAACACACTTACAAGGGCTCATGACATCTCATAACCCCATGTTATTGGCATTGCTGGCGTAATTGCTATTATTATGCCAGGTGTGGGAGGCTCGCTACAAGCACAAGCCGAG